CCCTGAAGGCAAAGATTTTGAAGCTCTGTTTCTCATACTTTGGGCATGTGACCAGAAGGTACGAGTCCTTGGAGAGTGAGTGACTTCATGTTTGGAAGGGTGGAGGGACAGCTCAGGAGAAGAAGACCCTGTATGAGATGGATTGACTCAGTGACTGGAGCCAATGGGATTAGGTCTGTCGGAGATGATGAGACTGGCTCAGAATGGGGCAGGTTTAAAAACTAATGCGCATAGAATCACTGTGTGTTGCAGGCGACTTGATGGCACTGAACAACAACAATGATGTATATGAATGATTTTATTGAACCCAGTTAACAATCACAGATAGTACAGAATACCGCATTATGACACAGTGAGCTAAGAGTTGGGCTTCCGACCAAGAATTGCGCTTTCCACCCTCTCCACTGGATCAAGATGAAGACCGTGTGGCCTAGCAGGATTCGCGGCCTCCAGAGCCCTGTGTGTATGGGGGGGCGGGGGGTCTACTGGCATCTCCCAGGACTGGAACTCACTCCGCGGTACTGGGTTTGGGGTAGTTTGTAAGAGCAGTATGAAAACGCTTGAAATACTGAAAATTGCCAAAATGTGACACAAAGCTAAGAAGTGAGCATGTCCTGTTCAAAGTTGGGGCCTCTACCCTTCTTCAGGAAACTCTAGTGGCTTAGTGGTAAGAAGCTGTGCTGCCAACCTAAAGGCACGCAGTTCAAATCCAACAACTGGCTGAAGAGAGGACGATACACAATCTCTTCCCTTGCAGTTTACAGCCTCTGAAAACCCCAAGCAGGGTCAGCTGTGAGTCAATTTTAACTGGACGGCCTACAACAACTTAGTCCTGTTGCACGTAAGGTTCCCACAAACTCTTGATTTCTAAAAAGTGCAGGATTTGTGAAATGCAGTAAATGAGGCAGGCTCTATTGCTGCCCCCTTTAAAAAAGTAACAACTAAATCTCCCTTGCTGTAGCTCAATGGACTCCTTTAGGAATGAGGTTTTAGAGTTAATTTCCAACAGCTTTAGAGGTTCTAAAATGCGGGGAAACAAACTGTCACCATGTCCTTGGCCCTTCCTGGATATCGTATTAAAACCAGCATTCAGGTTTTTCCCAAATGTGTGGCAACAGCTTCAACATCTATCTGTTTACTCAGTGGTTACAAATTGCCAATGGGCCGGGCCCTGTCTATCACTTCCAGGGCAAATTAATGTGTGAAAACTTATCAAAAGAAATCTGTCAAGTTTGAGTAAGTCTAAATATTGCATGAGATTCCCAAAGGAAATCAAACTGAGTGAGATACAATTTTGCCTGTTGCCGCAGCACATGAGAATTTATTTTGTTTTATTTACTTGGCTTTATTTCCAGGATGTTGATAGCATTTCATGGAGCCCGATGGATTAATGTTTTGCTCTGATAGAAATAGATTTTGAGTCTTAGGGGGAAGGAAGCCTTGTTGTCTGCAGACTGATACAGCAATACTGCTTGTTTCTGGGAGGAGTGTTAGAGCGGAGGGTAGATGGGCCGGCTGAGTCATTCACCATCTGGCCTCACCTAGATTTCAGCTTAGTCTCACCTTTAAGATGAAGAGAAAAGACACGGGGTCTATGAGATGCTCTTCAGCTTGTTATTTTGTCAGGGGCCATCAGGTCGATGTTGACCCCTAGCAACCCCATGTGACTGAGTGGTGATACCTGGGAGGGTTTCCTGGACCAGAACCGTTGTGGAAGCAGATGGCCAGGTGTCTCTCCTGTGGAGTCATGGGGTGGGTTTGAGTTCCCAACCTTTAGTTCAGCAGCCGATCGCCACCTGGACTCCTCCTCCTCCTGGCTTTGCCCCATGATTTATGCTCATCTGCTCTCTCCTGACTTTGTATTTCCACGTACCTTCCTGCCCTGGACAAGCAAAAATTCAACAAGCCGCGTGGTGGTATTTGCTGTGAAAAAGAAGTGTTTACTGGCTAGAAATCTACCTCGTTCTGGGGGATTCAGTGTTGGGCTCTACGTGATCTCACCCCAAGTGACTTTTGCCTGAACAGTGGACGTCAGATGCTGATGTCAGATGCTAGGATCTTAACACAATTAGCATGACATTCTTCTCGGCAGGAGGTGCTTCTCTGGCATGGGAAGTTACCAGAGGCTTATAGCAAATGTGGAAACATATTGCAACTCTAACTCTTCGTTATTTTCTGTTAAAGTTTATTTAATGTTATTTAATGCTTTGTCACTTACCAAGATTAATTGCCAGTCTTCATACTAAGTTACTGCTTTGTGAATTTAAATTATTGTATTAGTTCAAAGGTTCTTTTCTAGTTCTTAAGCCAGTCGCCTCTCCCTGAACTCAGAGAGCATGGCTGTAAAGAGGGAAGGGGAGCAACTATTTTGAAAAAATGTCTTTAAGGAAAAAAATAAAATATGTTTTCATTGATTTGATTGCAAGTCTCCTTGGAGAGGTGAAGGTTGATTAATATTTAGCTGGTCAGTTACTTTTTAACTTCTACCTGGTGACTTTGGAGATAAAATTTATACTTAAAACACTTGTACCACTAATAATGAAATGGGCAGTCTTCTCTCACCGTTCAGATGAGACGTTTGCGCTACTGAGAGATTACCTGCTTGGTCTGAAAGTCACATACCTGATTGGATCCCAGTGAAATAAATTGGGGGGTGGGGAGGTGTCAGCTGTGAAGATCGCTGCCTTTGTGGGCTTTTCCATGACAATCAGGCTCCTTGGTGACCTGTTGGGGCCTTTTCTTCCCCCAGGTAATCATTTCAGAGGAATAGCCAGCTGGTTGAGGAGCACTTGTCTGTCTACACTCAAATCCTCCTGACATCAGCATGGGGCTACTTATAATTTACATGTGTAAATAAACTGATGAGCTGTTCTCATACGGACATAATTACATCCATCTAAATGCACACAGAGCACACGGCAGTGGTGCAGTCCGCTGATAGCCGCTGACAAGGGGCAGGCCCTACACGGACCAGCCCTTGTTTGCAGACAGTGGAGGAACCCAGTGCACGCTTCCTGTTGCCCAGTCAGTTGTCGGGGTCAATTACAGTGGGGATGCGCCGAGGTATTTATTAAACGACAAAATGCCTTTTACAGTAATTAGCGTTCCTCCTGCAAAACTGATAACCTTTCTGCCATGTCCCAAGGACACTCCGTGCATTTATTCCCTCACCCAGCCAAGTGGGATCTGAAATCTGAGGGACTGACTCCCTTGGCATCTAATTACCCTGCCCCTTTCCAGTCACAGTGCAGCCACTGGAGAGGAGGTGGACCTCGTGTGCTAGTGAATGCCAGGACCAAGCGTACTGTTCCAGTACCAAGGGTCTTACCCCTCCAGACTTGGGTACAACTGAAGAGCCACACTTTAAAGAGATGCCTAGTTGGCTGCCTGGATCTGAAGGAGCTCAGTGCCTGCAGAGCGTAGTGGTTCTTGGCATTGGGTGACTCACCCTCCAGAGTTGAAAGGCTGGGCTCACACAGTTATTTTTGAGACGCCTAACACTTCACAGAGATGGGAATGTGCACCGGAAGACGCTCGGAAATGACTGTTGCACGCATGCCCTGGCATTCTGGGTGGACAGGGGATTGTGATAAAGCTTCTCTCCCCATCACTGGTTCATATCCATTCCTGTGTGGCATAGGATCCTTCAGCTAATTTTCTTTAAGTCTAGATTTCCATTTATGGAATAAGCTAGCCATTACGTAGCAAGCAAGTACTTGCTACAATAAGTATTTACTTCAAAATCCCAGTAAGACAAATGAAAATAATTGTGTGTAGGACTTTGCCCATCACCAGTAAGAATAAGATTTTGAGTTGATGGAAGGAGACATTGTCAGAAGAATTGAACTGAATCAAGACTGAGGAATGACTCTTCTAATCAAAGCTAGGAGATTGGATTAGTTTCTGTGTGTCAAATTTCTCAGTTAAAAAAATGGGAAACTGTAAAACGTATTGGAAAATACAAAGTGCTGTGCGGCTCTGTGAAACTGAGATCCACAGTATCGACAATGATCTTAAAATGGAAGAAGTATTCACCAGAGTTTCCTGGGTGGCTTCCAGCACAACTGTATTGATGGTATAACCCTCTGGGTCTCTAATTAGCTCAGGAAAAGTCGCATTGTGATGGTGAGCACAGGCTTTGTGGGACGTTCCTGGCCAGTGGGCACCTACCTACTCATGACAATCTCTGTGTAACATAGTGAAGCCCTGCCCAGGTCCTTCCATCTTCATCTGTAGCACAGGGATAACCCTGCCCACCCAGTCTCCTTCCATCTTCACGTCTCTGTAATGCAGTGAAGGCCGGCCCCGTCTTGGGCCATCCTCACCTGTGGCAGCCCTCACATTCATCCATTCCACTGGCAGCCCCCACTGTTTTTGCTGATCTGCTCTACCAAACATTATGGTAGTTCCTTTCTTGCTGTTGTGCCCCAATAAATGGGTCAAGGTCTTGCCATCTTGCTTCTACAGCACATTCTATTGTGTTTCCACAACACAACACTGATTTACTTGGTCTTCTAAAAGTCCACAAAGTCTGCAGTAGATCCATCCTTCTTTGACAACATCACAGTTTAATAAACTGGTTCATTTCTGTCATCTGATTGCATATGAGACTGGCACATAAGTTATCAAAGTTACACCTTTGTTTTTTAAAATGTTCAAGATTTGCCCAGTGCATTTGATGGCACTTGCTTGCTTGCTGGGGGTTGGTGCTGATGAACTCTATCCCCTGGAGTGGACAGCTGTCTTAATCACTGTAAGAGTTAGCTGTGAGATCTCTACAAGTAACCTAGTACGTACATTGACTGACCATAGAAAAGGCTGGTACAAGAGTATAAGAGACTGCAGATTGGTTCCTGTTAATAGTTGGTTATTATTAATAGCAGACTGTAAAAAGGTCGTTGGATTCTAGGATGAATTAAATCATGACTATATCTTTAATGAAGACAGTAAACGTCATTGCCAACAGTCATATTGACAGTGATTGTTCTTTCTCTTTCTAGAGCTGAGCTATGCCTGGATCTTCAACGAGTACCCTTGCTATCAGGACAAGCGACGCTTCATTTCTCAAGAGACTGGGAATCTGTATATAGCCAAAGTAGAAAGATCAGATGTAGGCAATTACACCTGTGTGGTTACCAATACCGTAACCAATCACAAGGTTCTGGGACCACCCACACCATTGATATTGAGAAATGATGGTGAGTTTTCAAAGTCATTTTGTTAATTCTGTTTTTGTGATTATAGGGTAAATATAAAAAATTTTACATCATTGGCACAAAAATGCTTGATTGTCTAAATTAAAATTTTAAAAGGTTTCATGTGTTCCACATTTAGAACCCAAATTGTCTTCACTTATACAAGAAATAAACCAATGGATCCATTTTGGAAAACTAATTAGGAATCTAATTGCTAATCTCAACAGGAATGGAATGTGGGCTTAGGTGAATATAAATAACAAAGGAATCTATTTCTTATTTCGTTCCCACTTAAATTGTGTACACGGGCAGAATGAACTGGAAAGTGGAACAATTACTTATTAATCAGTTCTGTCTAATTTAGTATTCAGTGTCCAGAAATAAGCTGTAAATGATCCAAATAACCTCTGGATTTATAGTACTGAAGACATGGTTCCAACCACAGTGAAGGACAGGAATACGGGGCTCATTTGAAGCAGATATTTTAACTTCTCATACTTTGGTACGAATATTTCCAAAAAGAGTATTATTTCAGGGATCTCTAGTGACCTGGTCATAAAGAGTTGAACTGGCAACCCAAAGGCTTGTACTTCTAATCCACCAGCAGCTCTGCAGGAGGAAGAGGAGAAGTCTTCTCCCTTAAGATCTCACCTTAGTTACCTAGATGATTTGATAATGTTTGGCAGATCACCGTGTGTATGTAAAGACGGTCTGACTGGATGCATGTCAAACCTCGGCAGCACCCAAGCTCTCTCCACTGTCGTACAGATAGGGTGGACCGTTCCCATACTGTCCCCTCTTCTTGAAATGTTCTTCCTTCTCATAGTCCCCGACTTTCTCTTGGTTAACTGACACTGGTCCTTCAAGTTTCTACAAACAAACTTAGCTTCATCAGGGATCTGCCTCTGACAGGCCCTTTGCCCTTTATCACAATATATCATGTAGCTTCTCAAATAACATTACAGTAGCCCTAGGAACTCTTTACTCTCTACCACAATTACTAGAGTACCAACTGAATCTCCTCTGAGACAATTTACCTTTTCATCAGTGCAATGTCTTGTTCACTGCCATAATTCAATACCTACTGTTCAATACCTAGTATAGTGCCAAGTGTATGGAAGGTGTCATGAGGTCCTGTGGAGATGACTGTGAACCACTGCAACCCTATCCTGTACCATCCTCGAGATCTCCATCCACCATGCCCATTTTCACAGTTATTGTGTCTTTGCATCTCACTGAGGGTCTTCCTCTCTTTTGCTGATTCTCTGGATTTCTCAGTGTGATGCCCTTTTCCAAGGACTGGACCCTTTTGACAATATTCCAGAGTATGTAAGATGAAGCTTCACCGTACCTAAACTTGAAGGAGCACATGGCTGCATTTTCTCCATGACAGACTTATTTAGTCTTTACTATCCATGAGTACCTTTCACCATCACTACGATTCAGTGTTCACTATACTACTTCATTATCAAACTAAAGTTATTCAAATTTCACATGTGTAGAGGAGTTGAAGATGCCATAGCTTTGATCGTTTATGCCCTTATGTCTTTAATGAGAGATACCCTTGTTCTTTAACATCTCTACATCAAGTATACAAAACTCCTCATCACTAGACCAATAGGCAACATTGTGATCAATAAAGGAAAGATTGAAGTTCTTAACTATTTCATTTACTTGGATCCAAATGAAAGGTCATGGTAGCAACTGTCAAGAATTCAAAAGATACATTGCATTAGAAAAATCTATCAGTCTTTGGAGAGGGACGTCATGCTTGAGAGGGTGGAGGGACAGCACAGGAGAGGAAGACCCTCAGTGAGATGGATCGAGTCAGTGACTGGGGTAATGGGGGTATGTGTGTCAGAGAGAAAAAGATTGGCAAGGGATAGAGCAGGGTTTAGGGCTGCTGTACACAACGGTTGCTATAAGTCTCAGGCAACTCAATGGCACATAACAACAACAAAAACATGCATGGTAGGGAATCAAGAAATAATTGTTGATTCTCTTCCATGTACTGACAATAGATGTGAAAAACAATGTATGTCAACTTTATGAACTTTGTATGTAAACTAGTATAAAATGACATTTAAAAAAGAAATAATTGTTCAATGGGTGAACAGAAATAAAGACATGATCAGGACAGGGCAAGATTCAGATCTAACGTCATAGATTAGCTGCGAATTAGTCTACTTTTAGTGGTGGTGACGTGTGAACAATCAGTCCTGTGGGGGGCACACTGTAGAACAGTCTAGAGTACGTGAGCATCATGTAAAATAATCTCGAGACTGAAAGCAGTGGGGATATTCAGGGAACAAAGTGCATGTGATCCTGGTTGAAGACGGAAAGTGGAGGGTGGAGAGGGTTTCTGTGGTGGCTGGAGTTGGGACTGGCATCCTAGAGGTCAGGTAGAAAACACTGGGTTTTATTTCACATTCAGTGAGACATCATTAGACGAGTTAATGTGTAAAGGTGAGGTATGATTCTTTAAAAAATGTATTGCTTACCTACTTGCAGAAAGTGGAATTTTTAAAAAGCAATTGTGAAAACTAAAAACCCAATTAGAAAGTTATTGCAAGCAATTCAGTTGAGAGGTAGTAGTGGCTTGAACTAGGCAGCACAGAAGGGAAGAGGTAGATGGATTCAAGTTATAGTTCACGGACATGTTTACCAGGCTTTGGATGTAAGAGATGGTGGGAGAGAAAATCAGGAATGACACCTAGACTCCTGGCCTAGCAACTTGGGAGTATGAGAAGGCCAGTTTCTAACATGGTTTACTAACAGATTTGTAGAGGGAAATCAAGAATAGTAAACATCGCCTACAGAGCCAGAGGAAAGGTTCCTTCATTGGCTACAGGACAAAGTATTTGTTGTGGCTTCTTTGTCTACGTCTCTTTCCTAATCCTGACCCATTTATGTTTATATGTGTTTTAGTTTACCTCTCCCCAGACCTTTATGATGTGGTCAGGAAGAGGTGGTGTATTTTATCCATCATTACACTGGGTGCACTACAATGCTTGCCCCATGGTAAATAGTGTGTTGAGTTAAACTGAATTATATTCGATAGAACTGACAGATCCTGTCCTTGTAAAGAAAACGGAAAGTACCAGCTCTGCCAGATCATAGCATTTCTCTCTCTCCAGACTTGAGAATGAAGGAACTGTTTTATAGCATGTGCCCCGGTGGCACTTTGTAAATAACCATTTAAAGATGCAGCTCTCTTGGCCTCTGCCCCAGACACACTTGTGTCTAAGTGTCTTTTCATAACATTATCTATTTTGGTGTGTCACACCACAGGTGACATGAAATATTGACTTTAATGGATTTGGAATAGCCATTTGCTGACACAACACAGAGCTGTGATTTCAGAAAGAACAAAAATTCAGGAACATGCTAACGCCAGAGTTGTCAGTAACAGTTGTACGGTTTGCTCGGCTTTTAGACTTATCTCAGCTTGTCTAGTGTTTCTTCATAGAGATGACAAATGATTTTTATTAAAATATTTTATCACAAAATTAGCAGGCTAAGGATCTCATTTTTCAGCGATTAATGTCTATTCATTCTTAGTCTCCATTAAAGTTGCATGTTGAAATTTCACAGTATGTCTTTCCCACTTAAGTTGGGGTACATTAAATGGATACTCAAACCCTATTACTAAGCTCAAAATAGGCTATTTAATTAGCTCTTGTCTAGAGGTGAAAGAAAAGGGGAACTATAAATCAAAGTGAGATTGCAAAACAAGGAACATATCCTTGTTAAAGTCTTTTCTATACAGGAAAACCAGTGACATGATCGCTCTGCTGAATCTGGTCTAGGGTGATTTTATCTTACACTTGTGCTTTGTGTAGGTGGAATTTGTACAATATTTGAATAATTGGCACCCACACAGCTCTTCACAACATCCTTTGGCCTCAGAAATTAAAGGCAGAAGTGTCAGCCTGCATGGAACTAATTGTCATGGCTGGTTCTCTCCTTTCCTACGTGTAGATGCACATGTTTTGTTTTGTTTTTTCCCAACCAAAATATTGGATTGCTCCAATCTTCTGGTTACTTCTGAGAAATTAGAGCTAGGCAGTTCTGGAATATGATTCATTCTTTCCAACGAAAAAGTCACAGAGAGTCACAAGAAGCAAAGTGAGCCTTTGTGTAGGTGTTAGTGGTGTGGCTCGCCCCATCTGGGCACTGCTGGCTGTATTCTGTGCTTGCCCCAAGCACACCGAGGTTCTGTAATTCTGGGGTACTTGCTGACTTCAAGTCCCCAGTTCTTCCTGAGCTCACTTCTTCACGCACCTCCTTTTATGGCTTGGATGTCAGGTGTGAGGAGGACTTGCAGCATGAGGACTGCCCCAAGCGTTCTGGGGAGAGTCCAGCCCTGCCCTTTCCTTGGTAGATGACATTGGACACATTTGCTTAACCTCATTATGCTAAACTTTCTCATCTGCATAATGCACATAATAGTTCTTCCTCCACAGTTATATTATGTGCTAAATATCAGGTACTGAGATTGGTAGCAAGGTAGACATGGAAAGTCCTTACCTAAATGTGCCCAGTGTAGGAAGCCATCCTGAGCTCTCTTGGCACTGGCACAAGCAACACTATTTTGCCCGTGGACTTCATTTCACAGCCCCACTTGCGGACAGGGACACCGAGAGGCCAAGTTCAGCATAAGGCAGCCCCGCCCTCCCCTGGGATCAGTGTGATTCACTGCCTCTGGGCGTGCCCCTCCTACCTGCTGTAAACTGATATTTGGGGGCTGGGCTTCTGTAGTTTCCCTATAAATATCTGTGGAATTATTGAATAAACTTGGGCTTGACCAGAAATCTTTGTCTAGCCCCCATCTCTCGTTGCCCCTGCCCCTCTTCCCCCTTTTAATCCGCACAGGTTCCCTTCTAGAACACGTATGAACCCGCAGGTCGGTTTCAGGGGTGGTTTCAGCCCAGCATATTGTATCTTGTGTAAAGCTGGTTGGATGTATAGGCAGGAGTCCCAGAACTGTAAGTGGGTAAGTA